AGGAAAATAGGCTAAAATACTAAAAGTTTGCTTTCAAAATCTGAATCTCAAATATGCATTACTTCCCCTGCATATTAAATGCTTAAGCTTTACTGTAACATATAGCGTAAAAGCATATCCAAATAACTTTTTGAAAAGTAATCATTTTGGTAGGGATAGTGCTTGATCAAAGGCCAAGCGAGTCTTGGCTGTTTCAATGAAAGATTTGTTGCGATAACTGCACAGATTTTATGTCTTAAAAGAGCATGTCACCTAAATCTCTAATTGCAGGAGGCGATGTGGTTCTCCTATATGCTTCTAGATATCATGATGTCCGTACGGTTGTCAATGTATCTGGGCGTTACAATATGAAGAGTGGCATTGCGGAACGCATGGGAGAAGATTTCATGGAAAGACTAAAGGAGAAAGGTTATTTTGACGTCGAAGATAGGAAATGTAAGGTCGCTAATTTCTTCAATAGTGTTTTCTGAATACTTGTTTTCCCCATCCTTTCTGAATATCATGTTTCTTATAGTGAATGTCAGTTACCGTGTGACCGAGGAAAGTATGATTGAACGTCTAAATACTGATATGCATGCGGCTTGTCTTGCGATCGACAAAGAGTGCAGGTTTCGGTTTTTCCCTTGCATTTTCTTGATGTTACTTTGACAATTTTTAGCATTTTACTATAGTCAAGAAAGATTGAGAGAAAAGCTGGGTCACATTTTGTACTAAATAGTAAATACTAAGTTTATATCATTCGCGTTTCTCATCGACTGCTTTTTCTTTCCTTACAATGCAAAATGCAGGGTGTTAACGATCCATGGATCGGCAGACGATATCATCCCTGTTGAAGACGCGTTTGAGTTTGCCAAGATAATACCAAATCACAAACTGCGCATTGTCGAAGGAGCCGATCATGGTTACACTGCACATCTAGCTGAGTTGGCTTCAATAGCTGTGGGGTTCATAAAGGAAACCTTGGAGCAGGACAAGGCAGCTTCTAGTTAGGTATTGCCCCCCTCTGCTGAGAATAATCAAAATGAACATTATGATCTATTTAATGTATTCCTGACCCCAATCTTTCTGGGATGACATGCGTCAGATTTGAATGGAAGAGTTTACAACTCTACAATGCAAACCTATTTGTATAATAAACGATTATTAAACGAGTTTGACTCTCTTCATATGCCTTCTATGTACTTGGCTGTGAATTTTCACATGAAAGCTTAAACAGAAAAGACCTTGCTGTTGTTAACAATAAACACCGTATGTTACTGAAATTTGTTTTTATACTCATCACTTACAGAGAACAGCAATTAATTTACAACTGTTTTACATTCTCCAATATACATAACCCGAAAACTAACATGGACAATGCTCAATAAAAACATCGTCCCTTGGGATTCCGGCTAGTCCAAGCGTTCATGGCATCGTTGGAGTCAGTTAACTGTGGATTAATGATCTCCATCATTGACTCTCATTCAAGAGTTCCGTTCATCAGCGCTCACTTTTATGCTGAAGCCTTCACATTGGCGTGGCAGCAAAGAGCCATAGCTTTTTGCAAAGCCTATTTGCAATGTTTCACCGGGTGGCGAAAATTACTGAACTTGTTTAAGCTCCTCATGTTCATTGGCCCCCATCTTTACTATCATATATCTGAGGATATTCCTCTTCACTGTCACCCTGGTTCACAAAATAAAACAAAATAAAATGATGAGGAAAAAAAAAATGAAGATAACTTGCCTAGCATTGTCTGCTCAATCTTAGAATTTGGTATTTTTCATGTCTCTCTGAAAAGGGCAATATAAATGCTTAATATCTATGTTGTATTCTCAAAGTGATAAAGATAAGTGCCAAAATTTGTCATTTAGACATAACAAAACACTTGGGTTTAATAAAGAGAGAAACATAACATCTGTGGACTGTTTAAAGAAAATTTTAAACTGAAAATACTTAAAATTGTGTGTCACACGGTTTTCTTATAACTGAAAGACAGGATAGGAGAGCGAAGAATTTTTGAAAGGAGAAGTAGACTCTAAAATTTTGGTGTGTTAAGTGAGGAGTGTGGGTTCCTTTTATAAGGCTCAAAGGAGATAATGACTTTGTCTTTTTCCAACATCGAACAAAGAGCTTTTTTACTTTTTTTCAATTTTTTAGAACTCTTTTCTTCGGTTTTCTCAATTTTACTGGAGCACTTTAAGAATTAATTTCTCATTCATTTGTTCACCATTTTAAGCATATAAATATATCAGTTCGATCTCTTCATAGTAGAGAACACAATTTCAAATTGAACCGCCACTAACATGAAATGGGTTCGGGCTAAAATCGAGCCTCAAAATAATACTCTAAAAGAGTTTTCAATCTATTTTTTTTTTCTAACAAGAACAACTACTTGACGCGGGCAGACAAGGAAAAAGATATTGACAGTCAACAACCTCAACACAAAAGATTGTTGGGCATTCCAAGAAAGGTTCAAGAAGAAGTTCGCTCTTCTTGAGAAATACTAGTATTTTCAAAAAAATAGATAAATAAATAAATAATAGTAAATGTAGAAAGTAATAAAGAGAGTGATAAAAAGAGTGACGTTAATATTTTTTTATAAATAATATTACAAGCACGTAGTAATTACATTCAATTTCTATTTTTTATTTAAATTACATATTTGCGTGGGTCATTTTTAGAATAAAAATCATTGCTTTACAAGTTTTGGAATTATTTTATATTAAGTACTTAAACTTTTCCAAAGAAAAAAAAAATCCAAAACGGTATAAATTTGTTTAAAAATATTTGAATTTTTCATACCAAAGTAATTGTGATAATAGATAAATTTGAACTTCAATATATCTAAGATAGTTTTTAATATCAAACAAAATGAAATTAAAAAAAAAATGATGATATGTTCTCCGGTGTTAACTCGTCAAAAGTAGTCACTTCCTTTTTCTTTTTTGTTTTTTCCGTATCCAAATATCCTTTTTAGAGTCATTGGCACAAATACACCCATAACTTTGAGCATAATAACATTTTAATCATTAAATTTTTAATCTAAGCATATTAGTCCTTGAACTTTTAGTTTTTGACACTAAAATTGAGAAAGATAATCGTGTCCATCAGTTAAGAATTGAAAATTTTACATAAACAATTACAATATATGCAAAATGTTAAGAGTTCTCAACATGTTTTAATAATAATAAAGGGAAATTTTTACATATAATGTACCTCTTTCTTTCTTACCACGATTATTATTGTTAAATTTTAGAAATTGTTTGTTAATTTTAATGTCAATAACTAAAACTGTCAAAAAAATAAATATATAAAAACTAATAAATCAAAATTAAAAGATATGGGACTAAAATATCACTATCAACACTGGAATAGTTATTTCATAACTCTATCAAATGCGGATCTATTGTTTATTTTTCATAACACGGTGAACATGGATTAGGAAAAAAAAAAGGACTGGGGTGGGCATGATGTGAGCCCAAGAAATTGCATATCCATCCTCGCGTGATCACCCAATCAGGTGATCGAGAGGCTCTTACTTTGATTTAGTTGGCTATTAACTCACCGATTATGTATTTCCAATCGATTTTTGGTTCTATTTCTATGTTTTTTCCTTATTATTTTTCGAGCTTGAAAATGTTTACCCAGTAGGGAATTAAATTTGGCTGCTCAATATTGGTCATGAAAAATTATGTCCAACCAATTCTAGAAGGAAAAAGAAAAAGGAACGTATTTAGTTGATTCTAATTTTTCTTTATTTTGTTGCTTGATTGACGTGAAGATGGAGAAACATAAAGTGTAGAAATTTTTAATGTTGGGTCTCAATTTTTTTGCGTAACTTTTCTTTTAATATTTTATTGATGTTAATCTTTTATTGTCATTTTTTATAATTTGGTGATTTTGAAATTATTTTGGTAGATTAGTGGTGTTAATGTACCAAATTACTCTATCGATGGACACCGGTAAATACCTGCATTATTTGTTGAAATAAATAAAATAATATGGCAGATTACCGGTGTTAACTAATGGGATTATTCATGGAATACCAACGTTGGCGATTGTGTCGAAAACCAGCGAATTTGTTGAAAAGGTTAAAATAATTTGGTGGATTATTGATGATAATCTAGTATATTACTCTCCGGTACAGTGGACATCAAATAAAACTATATTTGTTGAAAAATAAAAAAGAGACAGTGTAAAGATTATGATTTTTACTATTTATTCTTGAATAATAATTTTTTTAGTTAAATAATTATATTAATAAAAAAGTATTAATTAAGAATGAGAAGTATAAATTCAAATCCATACCTAAAATTTTCTTAATTTTTTTTTTTTTATAAAAAAAGATAACTGGTGATAATCTTGTAGCATCAAAATTGGTTACAACAAAATTTGAGTTTAGTATTATTTATTTTTTATGATTTTATGTTGGTATCTTGATTTTTAAAATTTTTTTTTTTTTGGTATCTTAGAACTATTTTTTAAGATATAAAAAGATAAAATTACCCTTATTGTAAAAATTCCTCTGTTTATTAGAATTTTGAAGTAAAAATGATTAAAAAAGGATTTTGAAGAGATAAAAAGAATTATGCTTTACAGGTATAACAATTTTTATAATCTTTTTTCTTCAAAATTCTGTTCAATAGATGAATTTTTATAATAAGGATAATTTTATCTTTTTGTATCTTAAAAAATAGTTTTGAGGTATTAAATTTTTTTTTTCTAAAAGATTGAGGTACTAGTATGAAATTTTTAAAAATAAATGGTACCAAACTCAAACTTCGATATAATATAGGGTACCAAAATGAAATTTTCTCAATAAATAAAACGCAAAATAAAAAAAAATGAAGAATTTATTTTTAAGAGTATATGAGTCTAAACTTTTATTTATTATTTTTAATAAATATTTTTAATTAATGTAATTATTTAATTAAAAAATTATAAATTAAGAATAAAAAATAAAAGTTATGACTCATAAAGGTGACAAAAAGGAATCAATTTTGTTGTTTCAATTAAATTGCACGGAATGGGAGCCCAAGTTTATAATTTTCATTCCTTGTTTTCCTCTTCACTGATTTCCAAAAAGTTCCCCCCTTCACCTAGATTTTCTCTCCACCAGGTGAACTTTCACTCACCAGCCAAACACAGTCCCAGGAAATCCTTGAGGATGGCGCAGGTTGCAGAGAACCCAGGTAAGTAAAGATGAAAGCATATCTGATTAAGTAGTAATTCTCTGTTGCGTGGATTTCTCTCTTACTCTAATCTGATATGGGTTTTTCAAGTAACGATGAAAATGTTTAGTTTCAGTTGCAGATTCTTCCAAAATGTTATAGCTTGATAGGTGGGCACTCTTGATATGTTCTTTCGAGTGTTCCTTAATCCTTTACTCATTGTGTGTTTACATACACACACACACACGTCTGATTCAATTAGAATTTGTCTCAGATTGTTAACTGCTCTGTGAATTACTTTCTCTAGTGGTTCAGCAAAAGAGATTGATAGTACCAAACAAATATGGTGAAAAACTTGTGGGCTTATTGCACGACACTGGATCTGTGGAGATTGTTATCTTATGCCATGGTTTTCAAGCGACTAAGGTTAGCGTTTCTGATTTATGAATGGCTATTTTTGTTTCTCGGATTAAAGCTCTAATCCTTAATTAATGAAAGTAGCATGGTTCACCCTTAATACGAGAGCTACATTAACTTTAGTTGCTGCAGAATTTCACTATGATGAAGCAGGCTATGAGAGAACCTCACACCTCTCAAACTCCGTCTTTTTCTTTCTAAGCTAATCCCCAAAATCGGCGTCCCCCTAATATAAGTAAAATTAGGCAGAAAATACATATGTGCAAACCCCAATATGGGACTTTAGATTAGTACGGTTGTCTAATTTTCTGTAGAATTCCTTATCAAGAACTTATTTTGGATATTTCTATTTGTCAAGGAATGTAATTGAGATGTAAAGTTTGTTGAGTATGTAGACATTCATTTATTAATCAATGATCAAGCACTCCTCATGTCTCATGAAAAAACGAATTGCTTAATTGAATTTATTGTGGAGAAGTTTTAGAACTCTTTTCTTTTTCTTTTTTTTTGTTTCACTACAGGAACATAGAATAATGATCAATGTGGCTGTTGCATTGGAAAAAGAAGGAATCAGTGCCTTCTGTTTCGACTTTTCTGGAAACGGGTAAGGTTCTGGTTTAACAATTTTTTGTTTTAGCAGACGTGATGTAATTGCAAGTTTGAGTGACTGGCTATATAACTAGGAGCAAGTAATCGTCGTCTTACTTTTACTGCCATGGAAGAAGGTTTTGAAACATTTCCTAAGGATGTTTTGTTTCTAGTACATTTAAATATCAAATAGTTCTTAATTGATGCATAGAATTACCTTAAACGTGGTGCCTATAAGTACTTGTAACTCACCAGTCACCACTACATGTAATATTTCGAGTCAAAGCAGTGGTCCAAGAAGTAAAGTGTTTTTTTTTTTTTTTTCCGAAGTATGAGAAGCCTTTTACTTGGCTTAATTTCGTGTTATTTAAATCAATGTTCATTGGTTGTGCTATCTTTGCCTTGCAGGGAAAGTGAAGGTACATTTGAGTATGGAAACTATAAGAAAGAGGCTGATGATTTACATGCTGTAATCGAGCACTTCTCCGGCGCAAACCACGTAATAAGTGGAATTCTTGGACATAGTAAAGGTTTGCTTTCAAAATCTGAATCTCAAATATGCATTTCTCCGGCGCAAACCACGTAATAAGTGGAATTCTTGGACATAGTAAAGGTTTGCTTTCAAAATCTGAATCTCAAATATGCATTACTTCCCCTGCATATTAAATGCTTAAGCTTTACTGTAACATATAGCGTAAAAGCATATCCAAATAACTTTTTGAAAAGTAATCATTTTGGTAGGGATAGTGCTTGATCAAAGGCCAAGCGAGTCTTGGCTGTTTCAAAGAAAGATTTGTTGCGATTACTGCATAGATTTTATGTCTTAAAAGAGCATGTCACCTAAATCTCCAATTGTAGGAGGCGATGTGGTTCTCCTATATGCTTCTAGATATCATGATGTCCATACGGTTGTCAATGTATCTGGGCGTTACGATCTGAAGAGCGGCATTGCGGAACGCATGGGAGAAGATTTCATGGAAAGACTAAAGGAGAAAGGTTATTTTGACGTCAAAGATAGGAAGGGTAACGTCGCTAATTTCTTCAATAGTGTACTTATCTTTTATCTGAATGCTTGTTTTTGTTAGGCCTCCACCCCTTAAGTTTGTGTGTGCTAGGAGGAGGAAGAAGGATGGTCAGGTCCAGGGAAGGAATTCGGTAGGCATGAGCGAGGGTAGTTCCGGGATTTGACTTGGAGGGGCTGGAGGGAAGTTTGTTACGATAGTATGATTCGGTTATGTGGGGATCCCGAGAGTCTGATATGGGGGGAGGGTAGAATAAATAGGAAAGGGAAATAGAGAGAGGGGCATCGAGAATTGTATGGTGAACCATTGAGTCTGTAGGAGGTTTGGAGGGGTCCTCGAATTCCCCTCCGTCTTTCAATTCTTAGTAAATTTCCAATATCAATAACAGGAGCCAGACCTTTCTTCTGGTTGTTTCCTTCATTTCGTTGCTAATTTCCTACTAACCCACTAGAATCCTAACAATCTGGTATCAGAGAAATACGATCCATGGCGAACCAGGCAGGACCGAGTGGCTTCCGTGGAAAGAAGGTTGAACAGCTTTCAGGACTCTCTGCAGGAGATCGGAGACAGCATGGAGTTGGTGCCAAGTTTGCAGGGGGAGGTTGAATCTCTGGGAACGAGAATGGGGGAGATCCAGGGAAATATGGCCACGATGGGATCCAAGATCGAAGGGATCCAGGGAACGATCACGAGGTTGGAAGAGTTCTTGATGAGGCGGCACGCCCTCACCCACCACCGCCACACCGACCCGGGGAAGACCTCTCACCCCCGAGGCGAGCACGGGATGGCCAGACTCCGCCAGGGAGGGATCAGGGACGACCAGCTCGAGGAAGGTTCAGTCCCTCGCGGCAGGAACCGGCCAGAGGAAGGGACGGACCTCCCCGCTACAGATCACCGGCGAGACCGCGAGCACGGGGCGAACACAGGGGAAAGAAATTGGAATTGCCATTGTTTCACGGAGAAGATCCTCATGGATGGTTGTTTAGGGCCGAACGCTACTTCGCTATAAACGATGTTGACGAGGACGACAAGGTATTGGCGGCGTTCGTTTGCATGGAGGGAAAAGCCTTGGGGTGGTACCAGTGGCTGGACGCTCAAGAACCGTTTGTGGATTGGCGGGACTTGCGGGAGGCCATCCTCCACCGCTTCAGCGGATCGCGCGAAAGGGACCCAACGAAGAAGCTGATGGCACTCCGGTAAGGTGGCCGGGTGGCAGAGTACCGGGAAGAGTTCGAGACGTTGGCGGTGACCCTGCAGGAAATTCCCGAGAAGGTGTTTAGGAGTGCTTTCCTTAATGGACTAAGGGATGACATTCGGGCAGAGGTTAAGATGCATCGGTCCAGTAATCTGATAGAGGCCATGGACTTGGCCCAACAGGTGGAAAACAGGCTGGAAGCGGTGAACCGGATCCGGAGGGCTCGGGCGGGTCGGGGCACCCGTTTGGATTATGGAGGAAAACTGGGTTATAATGGTTACCCTAACTACTCTGAACCCACTGAGAGCTCTCTTCGATCCCAAACACAACGAGAAGTCAACCCAGCGCCAAGAAACCGAGATCCACCGATAGGGTCGGCCAACCAGGCGGTTGGCGGCGATCCAGCTTTTCGATGGCTTTCATTTGAAGAGGTCCAACAGAAACGTGCGTGTGGGCTGTGTTTCAAGTGTGATGAAAAATTCAGTCCAGGGCACCGTTGCAAACTCCGATAGTTACAGGTGCTGCTCGTCGCCGAAGAGGATTCTGGACGAGAGGAGGTTCATCGGGAGGAAGTGGAGGCGACGACAGAAGGGGAGGAAGAGGCGGTGGAGGAAATTGCCGCCTTGTTGCTGAACTCGATTCGGGGGTTTGCAACTGCGAAGACTATGAAGCTAAGGGGTTCGATCGGCGAACGGGGAGTCATCGTGCCGGTGGACAGTGGGGCGTCCCACAGTTTCATTTCAGACTGTCTGGTATAGGACCTTGCGATTCCCCCAGATGCATCAGTTCAGCACAAAATCCAGGTGGGGAATGGGATGAGCTTCCATCAGACTGGGATCTGTAGAGGGGTGCGAGTGCTCATCCAAGGACAGTGGGTCGTCGAGGATTTTTTCCCATTTGAACTGGGAAGTGCTGACCTCGTGTTGGGGGTTACATGGCTCAAGACGTTGGCTGAGGTGCGGGCAGATTGGGCGAAGTTCACTATGAAGTTCCAGAAGGATGGGGAATGGATCAGTTGGACTAGGGACCCTTCCTTAAGCTGCTACCCAGTTAGCTTTCGTTCCTTGACTCGCTCGTGGAGCCCAGGGGAGATGGGAGTATTGCTTGAGCTCTGCTCGGTGGAGGCAGGAACACCAGAGTCAGCAACCTTTCCCTTAAACGCCGAATGTGAGAACCTCATCCGCGAATTCAAGGTTTTTGACACACCTCAAGGGTTGCCCCCACACCGGGCAAGAGACCACAGGATCATTCTGCGGGAGGGTGCTTCTTCCCTGAACATTAGGCCATACAGGTACCCTCAAATACAGAAGGCAGAAATAAAAAGGCAGGTCTCGGACATGCTGGTCTCGGGTATTATTAGACCTAGTTGCAGTCCTTATTCCAGCCCAGTGCTGTTAGTTAAGAAAAAGGACGGGAGTTTGGCGGTTCTGCGTTGACTACCGGGCATTGAATCAGTTGACGGTGCCTGACAAATTTCTGATCCCCGTCATTGACGAACTATTGGATGAGCTACACGAGGCCACGATGTTTTTGAAGCTGGCCTTAACTGCGGGCTATCACCAAATCAGGGTTCGAGAGAGTGACGCTAAGAAAACAACATTCTGAACGCCCTTTGGATTGACCAACGCTCCCGCCACGTTCCAATCTTTGATGAATTCGGTATTTCGCCCTTATCTCCGTAAATTTGTTTTGGTATTTTTTGATGATATTCTCGTGTACAGCCAATCATGGGAGGCACATTATGTACATTTGCGACAAGTGCTGGTAGTGTTACAACATGAGAAGTTAGTCGCCAACTATAAAAAGTGCACTTTTGGTCGAGAACATGTTGAATACCTTGGCCATGTGATTTCAGCAGGGGGTGCTTCCGCTGATCCCTCCAAAGTCGAGGCAATGCTGTCATGGCCATCTCCGCGGAACATTCGCGAACTTCGTGGATTCCTGGGCTTTACCGGCTACGACAAGCGATTCATGCGGGAGTATGGGTCCATAGCTCGGCCTCTTACTGAGTGACTTAAGAAGGGGACATTTCATTGGTCGGACCCAGCAGAAATGGCCTTCCTCCAACTGAAGAAGGCAATGACGGAATTGCCAGTGCTAGCCATGCCGGAATTCACCAAGTCATTTGTCCTCGAAACGGACGCGTCCGGGGGTGTTGTCGGCTTGTTCGCGGTTAACATCAGTGTATGAACGCAAGCTTCTCGCCATAGTGCTCGCAGTACAGAAGTGGCGCCACTATCTCTTGGGCAGGCACTTTGTGGTTCGATCGGACCAGCAAAGTTTGTGGCATTTGTTGGATCAACGAGTCTTGCCACCGGAGCACCTCCGGCTAATCGTTAAGTTGTTGGGTTATGACTTCGAAGTGCAATACAAACAAGGGGCTTCCAACAAAGTGGCGGATGCATTGTCGCGGCGGGGGAACGAAATTTCTGCCACGTTTTCGGCCGTCTCTATCCCTCACCAGATTGACTCCGCAGGGCTCATAAAGGAGTAGCGCGTAGATTCCGAGTGCATGGATACCATTTCGCGAGCCCTCCATGGCCAACCGCTTAGAGAAGGCTATGACATCCACCAGGACTTACTTTTCTTTCGGGGCCGTGTTGTGCTACCGCCGACCTCTACTTGGATTTCACGCATCCTACACGATTTTCATGAATCTGTTATAGGCGGCCATTCCGGGTTCCTGCGGACCTATAAGCGGGTTTCAGCGATTTTCTTTTGGAAGGGGATGAAAAAGAGTATCAAGGACTATGTCTCCCGTTGTTCCACCTGTCAGCACGCCAAAACAGAAGCCTTGTCACCCACTGGGTTATTGCAGCTGTTGCCCATCCCGCACCAGATTTGGGAATACCTTTCTATGGACTTCATCGACAGTCTTCCCAAATCCAGAGGAATGGATACCGTTTTTGTGGTAGTGGATAGACTTTCCAAGTACGCACATTTTTGCCCTTTGGCACATCCTTATTTAGCTACACAGGTTGCCGCCCTGTTCATCCGAGACATAGTGCGTTTACATGGGTTTCCCTGCTCCACTGTAGGTGATCGTGACTATGTTTTCATGAATCTTTTCTGGCGGGAATTGTTTAAGTTGCAGGGAACTAAATTGCAGCCAAGCACCGCGTACCACCCTCAAACGGATGGCCAAACGGAAGTCACCAACCGTTGTTTGGAAACATATCTTCGTTGTTTTGCGTGCAACAAGCTGCGGCAATGGCTCTCTTTCTTACCATGGGCAGAGTATTGGTTCAACACGACGTATAATGCCTCCATTAAACGCTCCCCTTTTCAAGTAGTGTATGGCCGTGACCCCCCTGCCCTATACCGCTTCGTAGATGGTTCGACAACAGTCAATGCGGTTGAGGTTCCGCTCCAGCAGCGCAACCAAATGTTGGACACACTCAAGCACCACCTTCTGTTGGCTCAGCACCGCATGAAGAAGTTTGCGGACAAACACCGTAGGGAGGTCCAATTCGCACCTGGTGATTTGGTGCTATTGAAACTTCGCCCGTACTTTATGAAATCTTTAGCTCGGAAGGTCAATGAGAAGCTTAGTCCCCGCTCTTATAGGCCATTTCTAGTCCTCAAGCGCGTAGGGCAGGTCGCTTACCACCTTGACTTGCCGGCTACTACCAAGATACATTTGATATTCCATGTGTCCCAGCTGAAGGCTTTCCACGGACATCCTAATCAAGGGCAGCCCCTGCCGGCGCAGTTGACAGACAAGTTGGAGCTCCTTGTACAACCCGCTGCAGTCTTGGATTCTCGCACCATCAATGTTGGAGGTCGTCAGGTGCCCGAGATGTTAGTGCAATGGGCGGGCTTACTAGTGTGGGATGCTACTTGGGAACCACTGGCCACGATCACAGAGCAATTTCCGGCTTTCAACCTTGGGGACAAGGTTGCACTTCAGGAAGGGGTAATGTTAGGCCTCCACCCCTTAAGTTTGTGTATGCTAGGAGGAGGAAGAAGGATGGTCAGGTCCATGGAAGGAATTCGGTAGGAATGAGCGAGGGTAGTTCTGGGATTTGACTTGGAAGGGCTAGAGGGAAGTTTGTTACGATAATATGATTCGGTTATGTGAGGATTCCGAGAGTCTGTTATGATCGAGAGTCTGTTATGGGGGGAGGGTAGAATAAATAGGAAAAGGAAATAGAGAGAAGGGCATCGAGAATTGTATTGTGAACCATTGAGTTTATAGGAGGTTTGGAGGGGTCCTCGAATTCCCTTCCGTCTTTCAATTCTTAGTAAATTTCCAATATCAATAACAGGAGCCAGACCTTTCTTCTGGTTGTTTCCTTCATTTCGTTGCTAATTTCCTACTAAACCACTAGAATCCTAACAATTTTCCCTATCCCTTATGAATATCATGTTTTCTATAGAGAATGTCAGTTACCGTGTGACCGAGGAAAGTATGACTGAACGTCTAAATACTGATATGCATGCGGCTTGTCTTGCGATCGACAAAGAGTGCAGGTTTCGGTTTTTCCCTTGCATTTTCTTGATGTTACTTTGACAATTTTTAGCATTTTACTATAGTCAAGAAAGATTGAGAGAAAAGCATGGTCACATTTTGTACTAAATAGTAAATACTGAGTTTATATCATTCGTGTTTCTCATCAACCATTTCTTTCCTTACAATGCAAAATGCAGGGTGTTAACAATCCACGGATCGGCTGATGAGATCATCCCTGTTGAAGACGCGTTTGAGTTTGCCAAGATAATACCAAATCACAAACTACGCATTGTCGAAGGAGCCGATCATCGTTACACTGCACATCTAGCTGAGTTGGCTTCAATCGCTGTGGGGTTCATAAAGGAAACCTTGGAGCAGGACAAGGCTGCTTCTATTTAGGTATTGCCCCCCTTTGCTGAGAATAATTAAAAAGGCATGATGAACGTTATGATCTATTTAATGTATTCCTGACCCCAATCTTTCTGGGATGACATGCGTTAGATTTGAATGGAAGAGTTTACAACTCTACAACGCAAACCTATTTGTATAATAAACGATTATTAAACGAGTTTGACTCTCTTCATATGCCTTCTATGTACTCGGCTGTGAATTTTCACATGAAAGCTTAAACGGAAAAGACCTTGCTGTTGTTAACAATAAACACCGTATGTTACTGAAATTTGTTTTTATACTCATCACTTACAGAGAACAGCAATTAATTTACAACTGTTCTACATTCTCCAATTTACATAACGCGAAAACTAACATGGACAATGCTCAATAAAAACATCGTCCCTTGGGATTCCGGCTAGTCCAAGCGTTCATGGCATAGTTGGAGTCAGTTAACTGTGGATTAATGATTTCCATCATTGACTCTCATTCAAGAGTTCCGTTCATCAGCGCTCACTTTTATGCTGAAGCCTTCACATTGGCGTGGCAGCAAAGAGCCATAGCTTTTTGCAAAGCCTATTTGCAATGTTTCACCGGGTGGCGAAAATTACTGAACTTGTTTAAGGTCCTCATGTTCATTGACCCCATCTTCACTGTCATATATCTGAGGATATTCCTCTTCACTGTCACCCTGGTTCACAAAATAAAACAAAATAAAATCATGAGGAAAAAAAAAAAGAAGATAACTTGCCTAGCATTGTCAGCTCAATCTTAGAATTTGGTATTTTTCACGTCTCTCTAAAAAGGGCAGTATAAATGCTTAATATCTATGTTGTATTCTCAAAATGATAAAGATAAGTGCCAAAATTTGTCATTTGGACATAACAAAACACTTGGGTTTAATTAAGAGAGAAACATAACATCTGTGGATTGTTTACCTCTGCCGCCTCATCATTGGATGAGGAAGCCTCCATTGTTAAGTGTGGCGTCCCTTCATTATCAACAATCTTCCCATTTCTCGATTCGTCCTGGATTTAAGAACATAAAGTATAAGTTATTGACTATAAATTACTCAGACAACAATGCCACAAAGTAGAATGATCAATATCGCCTCATCATTAGATTCTTGTCAAGCAATAAGATATCATACCAGTTCAGACTTTAGCAACCCAATTCTCTCCTGTAATTCTGCGATATGATGCTGCAATGCCTGGCAAGATAGGTAAGCCATCAGATTGGAATTATGAACAAAAAGAATATTTGTTTATATATAAGCGTGCAATGCTTTAGTTATATTCTCACCTCACGCCTCTGCAGTTCAACTGACCGAGCCAATGCCTGCCTTCTTGTCAATAAATTTTGAGGTCTTATTTTAAGTGGGCTTTGGTAGTTCTTCCCACGATAGACAAGAATTGCGTAGCCTTTGATAGTTTTGTCTATAGATACTAGCACCCCGCCACTCTCCGCTTCCAAAGAAATTGCAATTTGCTTTACATGCTCGAAACTCTTTCCTCTCACAATGATTTTTACCAACTCTCTATATTTCCAGTGCAAGTGCATGTTCTCTATGGTACCACTGTAAAGTCCTCGTCTTCCTGAGATAAAATCACCCAACCGTTTGAGTAGTTCCTGAAAACAATTGAGTTAAGAATCATAGTGGTTAATCTTACCCAGAAGCAAGAACGGTTCCATGCTCAGACCAATCTTACGAAACAAAAATCTCTCCTCATCAGTTATGGTTTCCAAGTCATTTGGGAGATCTGATGGATCCATGTTTTCCTGCACCTTTGCTAGAGCTTTCTCAGCCTTTGTGAGGTTTCCTTTTGCCTAAGACCACCCAGGTTTAGAAAAATGGCCAAAACAAAAAATTAATAAAGAAATCCTCCGGTATTCCCGAATTTTCTAAAATAGTAGACAGCAATTACAACTTACAAGAGCTAGTTTTCTCTCCAGATGTCTGATTATGGATGCATGCCTTGCCAAAGTTGAATCTTTCATCATCATCTCAACATCTACAGGGCTTTGTTGGTTTCCCCAGCGAGCAGTTGCCGCCATGGTTTCGGCAAGAGTTCCAGCAACCAACTGATTAATACAAGCTTGGCTTTTTGACTGAATGAAAGCTGGGGCCATCTGTCTAACTTTTTCTTCCTCGTCTTGTTGGAGGTCTCTTAATTTTCTCCTCTCTTTTAAAGACCCCACCACAACAGGTGGCATGAAGTCGTTACCCCTGTAAAAGATGATAAAATCCTTGTTTCTAGAAAGCAGTGTCCCCCCAGTTAACCTCTGAGACAAACAACAGTCATAAGTAAAAAGAACCAACAGACAGAAGTATTCAGAATGCAATTGTCATATAAATAAGTCATGATCCATTGTTACAAGTCTTCAAATTAATAGCTATGGTTATAGTAGTAAGATATTAGACAGAAGCACCAGCTTCCAGGACTGAAAGTCTTGTTTCGTGAAAAATAAAAAATTCGTATAGAAGAAATCCGCTTAAGAAACATGTTCGAGTTTTCTAGGAGTACTGATTGTATTCCTCACCTTGAGTTCCTCTGCCATCCTCTCATTACATGTGTTCTGTACTCCACGTTTAATGGCTATCTTTGCAATGGCACTCTTTTCCCACAGCCTCACCATAGCCTTGGCCAGACCTTGCAATTCTCGGTTCCTCCCTATCACAGGTTAGAATATTCAAAATAATTAATAAGATGTGATTAGGAACTGTAAGTGCAATCGCGTGCAATAAGTGTTTTGTACCTAGAGCAAAATGTGGAGGTATCATTCTAGCAGTTCGACGAAGTTTTGTCATCTCCTTGTTTCCGACACAGCGTTTTACCCCATAAGGTAAAATTCTGAATGGAGTTCTATAGTCAGGAACCACTGGGGGCAGCAAGTCAGCATCAACAGGTAATGGCTCACGCCCTAACCAATCGGTAAAACGTGGACCTAGCTCATCTAATAACTGGTTTAGATCATTCAACTGCATGGTTTCTCCTTCAGATAGACCCTTCACTTTCTTTACAGAAATGGGAGTAGATGACTCCATAGTTCTTATTGAAACCTTCACTTGTTTATCATGCACAATATCACTTTTGCCATCTTCTAAGGCTGGCAACTTCATGGAATCAGATTGATTTTCCTTGGTATATGATTGTACGCAAAGAAGATTGTATGTCATTCCCCTGTATAAGACCACTGAACTGCCTGATCTCCATATAACTAAACCTCCAGTTTTACTCTGACATACAACAAATAATAAGCTATATAAGGTCCTATGCTTTCATACTAACTACACAATATGTCACATAGAGGCCTTCTTTTTTCTTGATAGTACTCCCTAAGCATTAGTTGATAACCAAATTCAATGAAAACTGAAAACCAAAATAAAAAGCATGGCCACTATAACTAACCTGGGGAGGCAATCTACCCAAAAGAAGTGCCAAACCTAAACTTTCAATTTTTTTTTTCCCACAAGTTTCTATTATAACCAACATAAATATATCTTCTAACTTGATCAAATATGTGAATACTTCTCAACAACACATTTCTACAACTAAAACAACAAATCACAAAGCAACCATTGACCCAAAACTAACCTCTAAAATCTCATGGGTCCTTCTCATGTTAAGTGAAAGAGGCTCTTCAAACTTCAACTTGACTACTTCATCCAACTTCCACTTCTCATGAATGCTATCCACCAATGCCTGTGTTATACCTCTTGCTCCAACCTTTCTCCTCTCCAGCATCCTCAGAGAAACATTCCTCAGCCTCTTCAGCTCGTGCTCAGGCAGCGTCTTCTCCGCCATTGCCGTGTTGCTCCTCCTCTTCGCCGCCGCTTTTTCGCCTTCCCTTGATTCCGCTTTCCCCGCCTTCTTCCACGGCAAGTCATTAGACTTATAATCAGAACTTTCTTCAACATCATCCAAAGAAAAACCATTCATCACATTATTCGAAATCTCACTTTCTTCCTCCGAAATTTCATCACGTCCCACATCAAATTCCCTCTGAAAATCACCATTATCGCTCTTTTCCAGGGTTTCAGGTTCAGAAACAACATGGGGTTTAAAGGGTTTTGTCCCATGAGCCCAAGGAGCGGAAACGACACCATTTTTTCCACCGAAACTCACCGAGTCACTCGCCGATTCTTTCACATCAATCTCCGTTTCTCTCTCTTCTTCTTCGTTATCTCCTTCTTGTTCGTCCTGTGAAGATTCCTCTTGCCATGGGAATTTCTCTCTCGTGGAGCCGATTTTCGCGGACCATTTTTCCTGAATTTGCTCGAAAAAGCTCGGCTTGGGCTTCCTCTTCTTCTTCGTCTGCTTCGTGGTCTCGAGAGCTAATTTGACTCGTTGCGGTTGCTGCTCTGAGGCAACTTGGACGACCCTCTGAGAGGAAGAGATTCTGAATTTGAGAGGTTTGGAAGTTTTTGAGAAGTGGGTTTGGCGCTGGAGAAGAAGAAAGTGGAGTGAATGAGATGAAGATGAAGAAGGAAAAGTAGATGGGTTTAGTGAAAACAGTGAGAGCGCCATGGCAATGATGCTACAAATCCTTGCATTGCTTAAAGGCTAAAGCAGATCACTGGCGATGTTATTGGGCCCAGCTATGTGGAACTAGAAGTACAAGCCCATGCCCATGATATAGGACATGGTTTGAAGAAGAGGAACTTGAAAAATGGGAGAATAGTACGTGAGTCTGCACTTTATTTTTTATTCTTGATAAATACGTTCTTGTTAATTTAATTATCTAACTAAAAAGGTTATATTTAAGAGTAAAGGGTAAAAATTCAGACTAATATATTTTTAAGTGGTATTTATCATGATTACCCTTTGAACTTTGAACCTATCTATAGGGATAGCACAAGAGTCGGTGAATAACTGGCATCGGAATCCTCCAGAAGTAGATCGGAACATCCCAACTAAATTGACACCCGCATTATCACTTCAGTATGTTGGGCTGGGGTAGCTCTTACCCGTCCCGACCCAACTCAGGGGCTAATACTAACCCCCATACCATCCATTGCCCTCGTCTAGTAGGGTGGTTACATGTAGGGTAAGAATGCCAAATTGCCAACCCTGTTTATCACTTCACAAATGAGCTGGGCCTAATTATGATATAACAACCAAATTTGAGGCCTTTTTTCTAATAAAATAAGTATGCAGATTAGTTTTTGTTATCTCAAAATAGTTACTACAGTCAATGCTACGTTTTCCCATGGACTACTGCTGGTAATACCGAAGACTATCACTAGTAACATGATAGCAATCGGATACACTACTTTTTGGGTAATCTTCACAAATATTTCTTGAAAGTGTACAAGTCAAGATTTTTACCATTTATTCTTGATTCATAACTTTTTGGTCAAATTATTACACTAACAAAGGGGTATTTATCAAGAATATGGGGTAAAAGTCCAGACTCATGCACTCTCGAGGTAAATTCTCTATTTTTTTCCTATTTTTTTCCCAATAACACGATGAACCGACGAAGTACCTTTAGTATCACAGTAGGTTACTATCGGTAATAGAGTAGACTACCACAAGAGCAAAGGTAGGAATTCGCTTATTATGCAACTGGCAAGGATAATTTCAGTACTACAAATTTGCTGTTCTTCGAAGCACTTCCAAAAATATTAATCCTGAAGATCTTGATTCGGGCATTTTTCTTAAAATTCCCTTTTTCTTTTGGGAAATCTAGAGTGATGACTTCTCGCCAGAGGGGAATAAGAATTCATGTTCTTAGTTTTTAAACACCACAAGATTAATTCACTTTATCTCACTATATCATATCAATTTATTATAAATTTTCAAGAGAAGGATAAGAAATTAAAGAAGTGAATTAAGAGCAGCAGATACCCTATTTTTCTCTTTAAGTTGGCGGAGATGTAAGCCAACCTAACTTTTGTTAGCCCAAGGCTTTGGACCGAGCAAGCCTAGCTCACAATCAAAATAAGGGATTTATACTTCGGAGAAAGATGAAAATAGACGAAGACTTGAGATGAATTAAAATTAATAGGTCAATAGTTTATATAAGTTAATAAATAGGCCAAATTACTGTTTTTGTCTATAACTTGTCTGGTTATGAACCATAACTTGACAAGTTATTGTCCATAATTATCCATAACTTATCTGGCCATGAACCATAACTTAACAAGTTTATCCATAATTTATATGGTTATGAACCATAACTTGACAAGTTATGGCCTATTAATTTCTATAACTAAAAATTGACTTATATACTTTCTTAAGCTTTTCATATTGGCCTATTTTCTATTATTTCCCTTTATACTTTTAACCTCCAAACTTTTAGAGAATTGGAAAGTTATTATCTGAATTTTAAATTTTATAAAATTATCTTTTGTCCCATTTATTTTATTGGATTTGTTCAATGCAACTCAGTTCGAATGATGAGCTTAGTTTAAACTCGTGTTTAGAAAACAAATAATTCTAATTATATTTCACTTTTGAACAGAATTTGACTGTCCAACTTAGAGTTTAACTTCCACTTTAAGTTTAACTATCTACTTTTCACACTTATTAAATACAAATTCAAATTTTATTTCTTATTCAAATTATAATTATAATTGTACATTCAAACACTAATTTAAACTACAATTTAAAGCTCACAATTTGAATTTTTCTAATTCAAATAAAAAAGTTAAAATCAATAAATTCAACCAACAAATTAAACGGGGCTTTGAATTTAATAACATACTGAGAAGCATCAAAGTTGATAAAAAATCTTACAATTTAGGAGATATACTCGAAAACGAAGCCAATGACAATTGCGGTCCTTAAAAGAAGTAGAAGCCTAGGGCCATATTTGAACTTGATTGGACTTTTGGGTTCAAAACTCAATGAAGTTCAGTAGGGAAAAGTAGATAAATACACATTTAAAAAATATGAGTCTAAACTTTTACACTTCATTCTTAATTAATATCTTTTTAATTAAATAATTATATTAGTCAAAAAAATATTAATTACATATAAAGAGTAAAAATTAAGACTCATAATTTTTAAGGATAAATTCAGTAATTCTCTCAGTTTAACACCTAGACGCTAGGCCTTTTGAGCATGGTTTGGACTTATTGTTAGAGAAAATTAAAGATTTTACTTCTTTAAGTATCTGACTCACTAAAAGTATTTTTTTTATAAAAAAAAACTCTACTCCTTAACTAGTTATAGTCTAAAAGATAAAAATATATGAAATAATGTTAAGGGATAAAAATAAAAATAGACACTATTTCGAAAGGTATTTTTAAAAATTTTCCGTTATGTTACAACTATTAGGGAGACATTTGGTTGGAGGATTTAAACCATGATTTGAATCATAGTTTATGGTTTACTACAGTGTTTTCTCTCATAAAAAATACACGTAAATCAAAAATTATTCTAATCACATGATTCTAATTCATAAACTAAACGTCTCCTAGATCTTATCACTAGGAAATGTGGGCCAAAGCCCAATTAAGACCATTCAACATCAATGTGCTAATTGGGCGCTTGTGATGCCTTTCAGTTTAGGAGAATTAAATAAATATTTATATTAAATAATTAAAATAAATAATAAAAATTTATGTGATAAAAAAATTTATCATGTAAATCTAATAAAAAAAATTTACGTAGTAAACAAATCTTTTTATTGCATAAATTTAATCATAAATAAAAAATTTACGAGGTACTGCTATTTATTTAAAATGTTTTAAAATTTATTATAAACTTGATTTATAGTTTAAAAAACCTGCTATTTATTGTGAATTTCTGTTTGAGAGTTTTCACTTGTCTTATGAAGCTTTGTCCACATTGTAGCAGAAAAGAGAAGCTCGGTGATGAGTACTGGCGTCCCAGCTTATGTACTCATTTTAGAGACAAAGTATTTTCACATGTCAGTGCATGTCTCTTATCCTATGAGCCTACCATAATCTCTGCAGTGTGTGAATATTCGGATCCTGTCTAGCAAATCTCATTAAAAACAATTATTACAAGTAAAAGCATTATTAGAAAGAACACACAAATATTTAATCATGATGAAAAGCCAAAGTCTCCCCTGTGGGGGCCTAAAACCAACTTTCATGTCTCCTAGTTGCCCGCAAACTGCAATATGATTTTGCACACCACTTGATTATCAAACGTGTATATTATAAAGTTTTTATCTTTATATTCTAACCCCCCCGTGAGGCCGCAAACATATATATGCTTTTCTCTTTACACCTCACATTATATATATATATATATATATATATTTGAATACTAATTATCTTGTATGTGGCACAATGTTATAATTACACTTGCAATATTGTGTTCCCCAGCTAATTTATCAAGAAACTAGTTAGTGGCAATCTATCTAAAAATAAATAAAATAATGAAAAAAAACCCTAGGTCTGCCGGCTTCTTTTTTTGGTTATAATTATAACATGCCAACCAAAGAATGCTCAAGCTAAAGGGATAAAATAGTATGAAAAAAATAAATAAAAAATAAAAATGAAAATGAAAAAGCTAAAGGATGAGCTTTCCTATTGTTCTTTATCCCCCACCAAGACTAGAAAATAGGTTGTTTTTATTCGGCTAATACAGGTATGATTATGGCTACCTATAGATAGATTCTAGGAATACAGATCCCAAGAATTAGACAAAAAAGAAACAGGAAAAAGACGGAGAAAAAAAGGGTTTGTGTAGAAATTAGTGGGGATGCATAGGCCACATTTTTTGTTTGAGAAATGATCACCACGTGCAATGTGCATTAAAGGGCAAAAAAAAAAAGTGAAGAATATTGAGGCAATCATTCCCATTGACATTAGTTTGCTTTAATGTTTCACTTGTTTGCTAATCTTGCGTCAAGATTTGTAGAATTTTCACTACAAAGATTAAGTGTGATTTTTTTATTTATTTTATTTTTCTTTTCTTATTTCATGAATTTAATAGCATAAGAAATACCCCAGCAGCCATCGGAAAGTCAAAAATTATGATGGTGGCTGCTACTTTTGTGTCTCCTCATTGCCTGGAGGCTGCATTAAGATTTGCAAACATTCTGTTTGCCATATCAATAACTTCTATATTAGGCCTGTCTTTTTTGGCCGATCTTGTGGAAGCAAAACTTGCTTTGGCTTATGGCATTAGTGGATTGTCGATTTTGATATTAGTAATTTAAGGGGGATTTTGACAAATACTTTTTAAAAGTGTATGAGTTAAGATTTTTATTTTTTACTCTTAATTTAAAACTTTTTTAGTCAAATAATTACACTAATAAAATAGTATTTATTAAGAATAATGAGTAAAGGTTCAGACTTACATACTTTTAAAAGTAAATTCTCAATTTTTTTCAATTTATTACTATCCATACAAGTTAATAATAGGCTCAATCTCATCCATATAATTGGCGTATCTCACCTAATTGTTATTGATATTAAAAAAGAGTTGCTAATTAATTTAAAGTCTTGATTTGTTTTTGTGTAAACACTTGGTGCCCCCAGCCTACCAACAAATTTGACAAAAAAGTGGTCTATTGGTTTTATGTTTTCAAAATCAAACAAATAGTAAAAACCCAAAATTAAAGCTGAGATGAGTAACTTCAAGAGTTTGATTTTTTTTTTTTTTGCCTGAAAACATTCATATTACTATCGCACCTTATACATAGAGGGATCAGATTGAATGTTGGTTATATATAAAGTAATTACTCTAACTAATATCGTTTACATGTGTAATATAAAATTAACACATATAGTAACGTAAATTTGATTCACTAGTGAGAACACATACTGTTGATTCTCATTTGTTCTTATTATAAGTTGTAAAGCATAAGACAGATGTACCACCATTTTGTGCTGAAGATCATTCTACATATTCATGCTGTTCTAAGATGATCACTCACTCTCAGTTTGAATGTTGCTCTAGGAAAGGATAATTCTAATTGCTTCGGATACAAAAAAGTCCTATTGGTATTGCGTTGTTTTGGTCCTTAGATCTTTTTCAGTTCTATTAAATTTACATATGTTTTTCATTTTGATATATTTTGATGTGATGCAGTTCAAAGAATGCTGCATAGGACTAATCGAATATTTTTTGTGCTGTATCATAAAATCCTCTAGAAAAAGGGAATAACTTTACTTTATTTGCTAAGAATTTCATGGCAGTGTACAAAAGGAAAAAAAAAAAAACGTTACCTTTCACCATTAATTGTTTTGTTCTAGACATCATAATTTTATTAGATTCCTTTCGATTTTTATGTCTCTTTTTTAACACAGCTTTAATCTTAGGTGATGTTAAAAATTAATGCACAATACCGCAAATCCTCTATTCCAGAAGTTCTATATATTCTTTGTTTTTCTTTTCCAAATGTTAGCACAGGCAGTGTATGATAAGGATATTTCATAGATTTTATTTATCTCATAATTATTTACTTTAGCTTATCTCTAGTATTTAGACATCAAATTGGTAATTATCTTTTATTTTGATGTTTGAATTATTTTTAATTTTTAGTTATTAGGTGTAAAGTTCTTAGTTTAAATTATTTAGATATTGGATTAGTATTAGATACCAATTCAAACCCCTCATGTAACTCTCTATACACACACACACACACACACACATATATATATATAACGTTCTCATTAATGGAAAACTTGTACCATCATTCTCAAAAGTCTAAATCTATTAGGGTCTATTGAGAAGGTATATTCAAATCATGATTTTTGATTCTGACATTTGAAAATTAAATTTTTTGCGAAAAAAAACACTGTAGCAGAAATAATGATTTGAGTTTGAGTATATGAAATAAATGGGCCCTTAGTATTTACAATTTCAAAAGTTCTTAGGTTACTCAAATAGTAGGGTTCAGAACTCTCAAACTAAAGTAAAAAATCATACATAAGTGTTATATAATATACATGCATGCTTAGCATAAACTGCTTATGTATGCAAAAATATTTAGTCAAAAGTTCAAAACTTTACTACAAATAAGCATATATTTCAATTCAATTTTCCCCCTTTATACATGATGTGGATATTTTAAACCTAAAAGCTCTAAACCTTACGCTAATCTACAACAACTTTTCACAAAAATACAAGCAGAAGAAGAAAAAAAATGGAATCCACCTACTATTATATATATATATATATATAAAACCCTAAACCATAATAGTAATTAAATTTAAATTTCATGGCTAGTTGAAAATTCTCTGTCCTGGTGATAGAATTTTCTTTGGATCAAACATAGATTTCCTCTCGTTGAAAGTTCTCCATTTTGAGCCAAAGTGCTTCATCCAATCTTCCTGTGTTTTATAGTGTGGAAGATATTGCTTAACCTCAATACCAACATCTTCACAAAATTGTAATATGTCCTTGTTCTGCTGATCAAACGATTCCCAATCATCAAACCCACTTGAATGCAAAAATCCAACGGTGTAAAACACATCTTCATCTGGTATAACCGCGGACGTTCTATCATCCCATCTGCAAGAATATTCATGTCACAAAAATCAATTTTGATTTGTATATATAAGAGAAACAAAATTCAAAGTTTTCTCTACATAATTAAGGAGACCAAAAATAATGTTGATAGTTACGGTCAAATTTGTACTAATTTGTGTTCTATACACAAAGTCTCGTTACTAAAATTGACACTTAAATAGACAGATTAATTAGTGAAATTTTCAATATTGTCGACCATTGACAACTTTTATTTTTAGTATAGTAGGAAAAGGAAAAAACTGTGGAAATTAAGCTTACTTGTTCCGGTTCATGGGGTAGAGAAGGACAGGACCAGTGGTAATGTTCCGTTTTAGAACAATTTCCCTGAAGACACCGGCATTAAAATCCGAAACCCGACTTTTCGGGATGAAGAGATTAAGCCATGGATGAGGAACTTCCCAAAGTCCTTGTGACTGAAGCTTCAGCTCTCCACCACGGACTCTATCAACAAAGTCCACATACGCCACATCTTTTTCGAACATAAATCCAGGTTCAAAGCTCAACCCTTGAAGCAAAACTTGAAGTACCTAAACAACATATTATTTTTAATATTTACATTATTATAATGAATCATATATATTTAATACAACGAAACATGCAATATATATGCGCATATACTATATGTATATAAATACCTTGTCTACAGTCGTTTTTGAACGATCGTCATATAATTTTGCCACTTCTAGGCAGTAGATAATTTTGTGCTCCGTTACTTTGGAGATTATTCTGGAGTGATCGGACCGTGGGAAAAATGAGGATCTCCAATTATTCGGAGAGCCCTGGTTCATCAGAAGTGAACCTTCCAGATAATCAAGTGCGTTCTTGTCTTTCCTGCCGTTGATTTTGATTAGTCGTTCTTGGTCTCTGGAAAATGCAGAGAAGTCACTGTAGAGCATCCGTACCCATTTTACCTGCAGATACAAATACATGTAAATAATCACGTCAAAAATATTATATATGAAGTAAAAAATCGATTGAAAAAGTGGTTTATCTTACATCATTATTAATTCAGACAAAAATTATTTAGTAAACCGGGTGTACACCACGTCACCACATTTACGTGATACCTTCGGTCGATAAAAAATTATTATTTTGGTGCTTTATTCATATTCATAACTCTATGTAATTCTATTTCCTCCAAGTGTATTTTACATTATTTTCATTAATGAAAATTATCATAAATACCCTACCTTTATTAAATATTTTATAGAGGAGTGTTAGAGCATGAGAAAAAGCGAAATAATTACTTAAAACTCACTATATTATGTATACTACACATACCCTCTTCGGTGCTGGCTCCAGTGCAATTCTTGCTCTGACTATAATTCCAAACTGGCCTAGGCCCCCAAGAGCTGCGTAAAAGAGCTCAGAATTCTTGTGTACAGAGCACGTCACAAATTCTCCTTTTCCTATTAAACAAAAAATAAAATAAAATAAACCAATAAGAAAATAAACCCTAAAAAATAAAAATAACTGCATGCATGCAAAGGTCCATTCTTCTAGGAAAATAATATATATATATATAGGTATATGTGTGTATATATGTAAAACATGTAACGACTTTAGACACCATAATTATATAATTAGCGGAGGGAACATATACGATCAATTAGAAAACTGTCCACACAGCAGAAGCACCTGGTGTGAACTTGTCCTGAAATTTCCAAACGCGTGGGACCCAGTGAACAGGGCACATTCCAACACTAATTAAAAGGATGTCGAAAATGACTCTAGTTTATTAATATATATATATATACATATATATATATATTTTTTTTCAGATGATACCATATTCTTTTATCCTCGTATCAGCTTGGTCATTTTCCCACTTGTAAAAAATGTACAAAAATATAGGAAAGAGATATAATAAGACTTCAAAAAAAGTGATGGGCCGCTAAAGTCACCAACTATAGTAAAAAAAAACACACATGTAAAATATAAATAATGTGTATCAATACGTGTCACTAATATATAATTTATCACTAATGATGATAAATAGCATTATCGATCGAATAACTAATTATCACGACATACCGGTGATGACATCAAGTTCGTACACATTGCTGATCTGAGGGCCGTACCGGAAAGTCTGACCGCTAATGCCGGCGTTCGACAGCGTCCCACCGACGGTGAGGTAGAGGTAGTCGGTCCACGACACCGGTGCAAATCCATGTTCCAGCGTGGCATGCAAAACGTCAATCCAAAGCTGTTCACCTCCGACGTCGGCGTAGTACCCCAAAGAAGGGTCACCGGAGACTACGATCCCGGTCCCGCTCCGGTAGGTTTTGAGAGCGGCCATGTTGACCACGACGCCGTTTTGGGCCATGGCCTGACCGTGGACGGAATGGCCATGTCCCCTAGCAGCTATCTTGAAAGGAACAGAGAGATCGTTGGCTGATTTTATCAAGCCAACGATGTCGTTTGTGGAAGAAGGGTCTAAAACCGCTAATGGGATTTCTCTAACAATATGGCCAAAGTCGGTTGATGCCAATTTTATGGCCTCCGGATCACCACGAAGTTTGTGTAATCCTATATCTTTGGTTGAGAGAATTGGTGGGATTACACTACTAATCCACGGCTTGGATTTTCCTAAGGTCAGAAGCAAACGGCTTATGACAAAGATGATCATGAAATATGTTGCGTTTAGAATATTTTCGGCCATTTTTTTTGGAGAGAGAGAGAGGAGAGGAGAGAGAAAGAATAGACTCTTTTTTTTTTTAAGGTGTTGATTGGTTGTTGTGAAGAAGGGGAGGAAGAGGGAAAGGGTTTATATAATAACATGGGGGGTGGAAAAGTTGTTTGTTGCATGGGAAAAATCTTTGCTTGGAGAAGAAAATCTATTGGGAGAGTGTAATTACTAATTAGCTCAGAATAGCGACATATTAACTTGGCCTAACAACTATAAAAGTATTTTTTTTCTTGTCAAAGATACGCAAGGACAAAATATTGGATTCATGTGTTTCCATTTTATTTTTTCTGTTGTTTCAACTTACTCATGAATTACTCGTGTGAGGGGATAATTTAAAAGGAAAAAAAAATTAACTTATGTTACGCGTCTTGTTTGTATTTCTGAGTGCATCATCATGACCATTAAGATCCCAAAGGTACCCACAGATTTCTACCCCCTCCAAATTCCCAATTCACTCGCGTGGGCCAATTTTGAGGGCTCATATTTTCCTAATCCGTGGGGGCCACGAATTGTACCAAACCAAATGATCAATCTCGGCCGTTGGATCGTGATCTTGTGGTCAAGATGTGTCAAGTTTGGTCAAGTTGCATTTTGCCCTATTGTTTATCATGTGTACTTAATATTTTATTTAGTAGGGAGTCTTTGGTTTCTCTTTCAAGGATGGACAGTGGTCAAATTTAGGTAATATAATCAAAAAGGTGTCTGGGATTTTTCTATTTGAGTTTTTGGAGGAATTCTCTCAGGAACAAGATATTGTGTTCAATTTTGAATTCTTTTTATGGATTTGTGACACAAATTGGAACTAGGGGACATCAATCACATTTTTCTTCAATATAAGATTTTTTTTTTGTGTGCATGTATATATGGCTACATGTGATTGGTAAAAGTCAATTTAGAGACTAGTAAATCTAGCACATATATATGTTGTCGACGTGAGATTGGGTCATACTGATATTTAACCTTGAACTTCATTTTCTAAAAGGATTCTTTTTAAGATGTTTCCCACTAAAAGATAGAAAGTGAAACGTTTTCATACTCTTTTTGTTAATTAAACTATATTCAATTAATTTTTACTATCTTGGAAGACCATAATTAATTAGTACAAGCAATTTTTTTTTCTTTTTTTCTTTTTCCATGGGAACAAGCGGCGGAATCATTATGTTTTTGTGTATGAGGAATTTTAAATTTTCTTTAAGGACTTTTAATGGATTAATTAATCAGATGCATTCATCATGCATATATGAAAAGATAGCAAGAAAACAATTCCATACTATGCATACGCAAGAATCTTGTCGATTAAATAACTTGAATTTTGGCCAGCCTAAATAATTGTAGTGTTGTACGTACTACAAATAGTTTACAAATTTTTTTATTGATGCTTTCAACAAACTCATATTACTATTTCTAAGAGAATGAACCATAATATAAATATCAATTCTACACAAATATTATATGAATTGTCTCGTACTGATCTAGAAATTTTTCTAGTCATATTGTACATTTTTTATAATTTTCTACTTCTGATATAGACAAAGATATCTTCAGTTTTGAAGCAAAGATTTTGATTTGAAATGCTTATTAGACTAACAAATATACCCCATTCAAAAGATAATCTTTGACCTAAAGATCTCACAGGTAGGAGGAGCTATCGGATAGCAAGAGACCTATTATATATATATATATACACACACACACACATATATGACCTCATCCACAAGAAATACTGTATATGAATGACGTATATATATAATATAATTATATATATAGCTAAGAATGTAATCTTTGGCATTCATGTGCAACATGCACATATTATTCCATACAATAATTAATATTTCTGATGAAGCTAAATGCTAACTAATCATTAACAGCTTGTTATTTTACTTATAAATTGATAGCTAGGTTTGTGATCTAGTTCGCTTCTCGTCTCGTGAAAACAACTAAGCATACCTTTCCACATGTCTAAACAGTCGTAGTTAGGTATTCTACCTAACGATCCCAAGGCAATTGGGAAATAATTAAAGCAAGTTACAAAAAATGGGTTGGATAATACTTCATTGGTTTTCGGCACGCTGAGTCCGAATTATTAAGTAGATGATAACTTGACACTGGTAACAAAAGGATCAAAATGAAAAATAAGTTTGTTTAACTTTAGATGGGGAAGTTCACATGCAATGTAGAAGTAACACTATTTTGGTGTAATATTTGAGAAAAATCAAAATAATTTATATTTAAAAAAAAAAAAAAAAAAAAAAAGCTAAAAGAATTCTGCAAACCGTGTAAGGGAGCTCGACTGAGTGATCAGGGTGTCAGACTCACAATAGTGATCTTATAGCGAGGGACTAGGCTTGTGAAAGGGTGGCAGGGACGTGCTCACGACATGAGGTTGAGCTAGCAATTACGCGATGCATGCAAAGGGGTTGGGGGTATTGGCGGCTATAAAAATTGGCTTTTGTTAAAAAAAAAAATTTTCCCTCTTTTTTAAGGCCATTTGTATAAATTTAACCAAAAATTGACACATCATGTCATGCGCATTCATGTCTAAATTTTAAAGTTAATTTTGAAATTTATCTTGTTGCAATCATGCATTCTAAGATTTTGAGGTGATTTTGCTAAAGAAATTAAGAGCCAAGTTGTCATCTACTAAACAATTTGTGAACCAATTGGGCCAAGAGCCAACTTTTTTATGAGAAAATGAAACAAATATCACTTAAAGTGTATGAGTCCGGACTTTTATCACTCTCTCTTGATTAATATCCTTTTTCGTCATGCGGCTATATTAGTTAAAAGAGTATTATTTAGAGTAAGAGATAAAAATTCAGACTCATGCATTCTGAGGATAAGTTCAACTATTTTCTCTCTTTTTCTTTTTTTATAAATGTAAAAATCCTCTTTTTTTCATATAATATTCGCTAAGAACTCACACATTCGAGAAATAGAACTTGTTGCCCAATAAGAATATCACTAATAATTTCAACCTGGTAACTTTTTGTAAAGTTTAAATTTTTTTTTTTTTAAAAAAAAAAAAAATTTAGAGAGAGTGAACAAATGGAAGTGAGACAGAACTCTTGTGTCGCCTCTTAAAATGAAACTAAAATTGACCATAAACTCCCACAGTCAAGGGCTTGAAAGGTGGTGATGGCATCGCGTACTAAACTATATAGATGGGAAGTTGAAGGTTTGGATTAATGTTGCTCTTGGCGCATTTGATGGATGGAGGTTGAGATCTTTAGGAGTTTCAATCTGTGTGGTGTGGGGCACCGCCTCTCAAATTGTGATGTTATTCTTTGAGGGTATTTCTATTTTTTTTTATTTGTAATAACAGTGATTTTTTATCCTGATTAGTTTGTGTGTTTGTCTTGTTTAGTGTTTGGTTGTGTTTTTCATTCGTTGGATTTGTTACATGTGATATTGGTGTTATGGAATTCTCAATATCAATCGATTAGATAATTCCATCGACTATAAAAGAACTGTTCGAGAGTCATGTGTGTGCTCGATTTTTTTATATATGTATTAATTAGTTATCTTCCATTTTTGGAGCCTGCAAACATTATTGGTGAATCTAGGCGGGTTTTGTCAAAAAAAGCGGACTTTGATGTGGTGAACATCTCAAGATTTTACCCTTTACCTTTCTTTTACAGTGGGGAAGTGTTTATCCATAAATGCACGATACAGTGCTTTTGAGAACATATATGGCAAGAAAAATGCTTAAGTACACATCGAAAGAGAGAGAGAGAGAGAGAGAGAAAAGACAGAGAGATTCAAAAGAGGTGTCGCAGAAGATAACAATATATTGGTATAGAGAGAGCCGTAGAGAGCTCGTGGGTGGGGACTAATTCCAAGATATTGGAAATCTTTTTGGGGATCTAAGCCTATCAGCTTACAAGATCACGTGGTCCAAAGAAGAAAAAAAAAAAAAAAAAAAAAAACATTGCCATACATGTATAACACATGTACGCATATACCATTGCCCAAATCTATGTGCGTGTGTGTGTGTGTGTATATATATATATATATATATATATATATATATATATGTGTGTGTGTGTGTGGAGGGTAACAAACATTAATAATAGAATAGTTTGGTCTCTGACCGAAAGTAATAATTTTGATGAGATTGATGCTATTGGTTTAGATGATATAATTCTTTTTTGTCCAAAATGCGAATAAAGGTGGAAATATATAGCTTAATGATGCATAAATGGAAAAAGAAATTGGTTGTACGTCCAAAGTACAACGAAGAAAATATTGAGAATCAAAACATCGGTAATTTAGGTATTAACTTGGAGATCAGTCCCGCTAATCCTTCCAATTAATGTAGAAAACGATCTATGAAAATATATGTGAAGGTCAAATTCTTGAAGCAAACAATTCACTAACAATCATACAATTGCTCAAAATGACATGGAGATTATAGTTTCGGGATCTAGATAAATCGAGAAATAAGTTGGAAAAATATTTAGAAATGAACAATAAGCTTTATACACCTCGAGCTCGCAACGGCATACACAATAGATTTAAAATATATTTAAACTGAGAAAATAATTTTGTTTTCCCAAGGGCTTCTTTTGCATTTTCTTTTTATTTTACTTATTTTTATTATTTTAGATCTTTTATGACTTAGGTTTGTAGTATATATTAATTCTTTATTTTTGAAAAAACAAAATATGCTTTTACTTTTTAATATTAATCCATATAATGTACGATGGTCCTTTTATAACTTGTATGAATCTTTCGCACAGGGAAGTGATAAGGAATCAGTACTACGTACTTAAGTACTATAACATTCAAGTGTCGCCCGTGGATGTGCCATTCTATATTGGATTCAAGATGTACTAATTAGTGAAAAGAAACTTGTATAGAAAATAATTGGGCTAGGACTTGTCACCAAGCTCAGTTATTATTACTAATTGAGCAATATTATTGGACACCACCGGTGCTCAGCATCATTTACTAATAAAATGTGAGTCTCGTAAAATAAAACTTACAGATAGGGTCCATTTCTATTAGTAATGGTGCTTAGCACT